TTTAGCATAGGCTCTATCTCCCAGTAGATACTGAATTACAAGATAAGCTTTACAGTTAGATCTTTTGAGTATAGGCAAATTTTGGTTTTATATTTTGTGACTGTCTTCGGGTACAAAGTTGAAGAGAAATTCTATCCCCGTTAATCCGAGCGTAGCTGGGATTGTACCGCCTGCGATTCCATTCTCCTCCAAGCAGTCTCATTGGCAGGGTGGCTACTTTCAGTAAGGCAGCCCTACTCACATTTTACAATTGGTAATTATAGAAATGTCAAACTTGTGGTTTAGCCAGTAGAGGGAAAACTTATTTTTGATCAGTGAGAAAGCTTTGGTATACCACTGAGCTTTCTCACATTACGTAGCTATTGTGACCTCAGCTTTAAATAATCAAAGCAATCAAAAAAATTTTTTCTCATTTTCATTATACTGTTTATACACTATCCTGCTCCTCAAGGCATAGGTATTTTCCACTCACACTAGCACTTTGACAGTATTTCTCACAACCTAATCCAATTGATTTTACTTATCTTTTTATCTTAACAAATATGCTATACAGAAATGGCTCTGTGTTACACATAGAAAGAGTATCTATTTGATAACAGCTCACAATAAAACCTATGCAATGGGACCCACACAGGCCATGGGTATTGAGTATTATTTCTACCCAACAGGATCTCTGTCAACAAATCCAAACACTGAAAGTGAAAAATTCTTCTATTTTTATATTGACATCTTGTACGTTCCTCCTAGAGTAACACACAGTGTAACGAACTACCAAAGAACAGTTACTTTGAATCTCTGTATGCTGCTGCTGAACTTAGCAAAAACCTATCTCGAAAGTGAAATCAAAGTGTAGTTGAGTTTGTTTCAAGAAACTGTATCACTTCATAATACTAAAAACTATTCCCAAACATCAAGGAATGGCACTCATAGTTTAGGGACCTTCCCTGTCCTGAGGGAAGACATCTAATTCCAGGAGGAGTCTCAAGTTACTTAGTAAGCAAAGCTAGGACTAAAGTTTTTAAAAGCATATTAACCAAGGAATGCGTAATCCCATTAAGGAAAAGCCAATGTTTCAAGGCACAGGTCACTAGAGAATTTGTATCTGGGTACAATCTAGTCATAGTCAAAACTGGGAGTGAATAGGTGCTCATTTCCTTTGTTGGCTTTAAGTCTTGAATCCTTAGAGCCAGTAACATTTATCTATGACCTACGACACGAAGGATAATAAGGAATACTATCTGACTTTCTGTCTAAGGAGTCAGTGGGAGAGGAATAGATCTCCAACACTCCTATTGATAAGTTTCTAATTACAGAACTGAGTTCTCCCTACATTATTTTCCCACCCTGCTTCTTTCACCTGAAGTTTTGAATGATACAGAAATGATGTTAGGAGTTGTTGAATCTGTCCTTGTAGAGGCTGGGCTGCTGCAGCTCCATGCTCTTGGCTTCAGCCAGTAGCAAGGTTGAGCACGTTTTCCCCGTAGCTACACACACGGACACATGCATATAATACACATTACACATGGCCAGCCCCACAGATCAAAACAGAAAAAACCATAGCAGTCACACAAATGGCTGGCCAGGATGAAGGTCTGCTAGTGGGAAATACACAGTGTGGATCCCGCCAGCTGTTGGCCTCACACTCTCAGGCTGTCCAGTAGCTGGCCCCCGGATGTCAGGTCTCCTCAGCTGTTGACACGTGAACAACAGAAGCCCCGAGGGCCACAGCCCCACTCCACTTGCTGATGGACACCCCTGACTCCCAACTACTCACACACACCCAGAAGGACACTATGAATAGCGTAGCAAGTGCCTTTAGACACTTGGTTTACCCAGCAGCTGACCGTTGGATCCTTCATCTCCTCCCAGCTGCAGGCATCTGGGGCAGGTGAGCATCCAGTGCCCACAGCCCCACTCCAGCTGCTGGTAGACAGGAGCCCTCTTGCTCACACCAACACACACAGACCCCACGCACACGCTTTCAGTGGATCCTTCCAGTAACTTGTCTTAGATACTCAGCCTACCCAGCAGCTAACCCTCAGACCTTCTCATCTCCAAATGCTTTGCATACAGAGACAGACATATGCGGATGGGTCTCTTGGTCGACCTCCAGACCTCATGGTCTCCACAGCAGCAGGACCTCCTGGCACATACAGTAGCCAGCTCTGAGAAGTTAAAAAACGGACATCCACTTACCACTGAGACAGAACAGACTTTTAGAAGCAGACAGCACTAGATGGCAGCAGTGCTCAACGCGTTTAATTTGGATGCAAAGGTAGAACAGTCACCTATACTCAGCGTTGCAATTTCTATGTATTTCCCATGACCCCTGAGACTGGAATTCAATACTAAAGACAGTGCAGATAAATCTCACAAAGCTGTTGATGAAATACTCAGTGTATACAGTAGGCAATAGCAGAATAAAGCTATCTTCCAGCTTCCCACTGCCATAAGAAAAGACATGAAGAGTAGACCAGAACCACTAACTATGTTTTCCAGTATCAGAGAGAAAATTGCTGCATAACTGGAGAGGTATACAATGCTCCTGCTTCATGTCCCAGCTCCCACTTCCATGGGCTTGGGCAATGCCATCCCTTTCCCCTCTGGCTGCTGCAGCAGGGAGAGGGGAACACCCCACCCTGCCAAGGACTGCCAATATCTTCTGTACAATTAAGGACAATAGCTAGGGGTTAATTGGGACAATGCTTAACTTTCAGGTGGTTGAAGGAGAGCTGGTAACACTTTAAGACCCAGTAGAAAAGTGTGGTTGTGGGCCATTCCCTTCTCTCCTCAACAGCGAGGATAAAATCACTGTCCAAACGTGCAGGTCTCTAACCTGGATCAGTTCCCTTGCACTACCAGAACGCTGGATGTGATCAAAGGGCACGGCCTGGCAACGGACCATGCCGCAGCCCGCTGGGCATCAGCGAGTGAAAGGGACACATGCCGGGTCACCTCGTGAGAGACGGGATGCAGACCAGAAATGAAGCTGCACTGTGCAGCTGCTTAACAAAAATACCTTCCTTGTGCTCAGACAATGGCAGAGAAGGTCTGTGAGGAAACCCACCCACTGCATTCCTCCCCTCAGCAGCACCCAAAGTAGCCACCATCGCTTCCTCCACCTTTGTCCTCCATGACTGACTGCAAAAAAGCCTCTCGGACAGGAGGAAAGAGGCTAATGGCCATGCAGCTTCACCAGGGGCAGCCCCGGCCCCATTCCAATTGCCACCACCATCCCAGCCCCTCAGAGCAGCCCTCAGCCAACAGGGACATGGTGCCTTGACCCTGGTGGGTGCTGGTGGCCAAGCTGGGCCTGTGGCTGTGCTTGTGGGGCCATGAGGGTGGCTCGGGTTGTAGCTGAGGGAGGCTGGCATACTCCTTGCGTTGGCTATGACACAAAGCCACCAAGAGGCACCCACATGAGCTAGCGTTGCACTAGCCCCGTGGCCCTGCAGCACCCCTGTGACAGGCAACGGCCCTAGCAGTGGGGAACCAAAGGTGGCCACATACCTGGGGA